ATTATATCAAAGTCAGAGTGAATTCTTGAAAACTAATCATTCCACCATTTGGAAAAGTCAGGAGTAGATAAGTAATTTGACTCGAAAGCATAAAGGTAAAAATGAAATGGGCTTTGTGGTAATAATTTGGTAAGTTCTCTTCCTACATTCGATTCATTAAACCTGAGCCTTGGGGGACTATCGATTTTGAAAAAAGGTGAAGTTTGACTTAAACCAAATTGCCTTGAGAAAAGTTGAGGATAGTAGATGATGAGTTTGATATCTTTTGATTGAAAGCCCGATACCAGAACATCTTGAGTTAAATAATTGCTCCATACATCAATTAGTTCTGATTGTAAACCTGGAGTAGGAGCTGAAAATCTTGACTTAAACCATGTTGGTCCTCGAAGCCTATCACTTATTTTTCCATGATATGTAATGAAAGGAGCCAAACATGAGTCGAAATAAAATCGAGTCAGTAAGAACTTCAGATAAGTTTTATAATTGGCTCCTTCGGAGGATTTTTGCTGAGAATGTCGGGATGATAATCGGACACCTTCTAAATTAAAATTTGGGGGAACTTTGGATGATGTGGGAAGGATACTTTCGAAAATCGAAGTTAACCATAGTTGGATGAACCATATGGGACCTGAAAAATTTCCTGAGGGTTTTTGAGTATTCAAGATGTCAACTGCCTCATCAAACGCTGTATAGATATGAGCCAACAGGAGTTTTGCCAAGCAAATTCGAGGTTGACCGGTATGAAGAAGGTAAGCAAGATTATAAAAATGTGATGAAATTTGGATAGATCGAGGGTAGAAAACATGAGTGCAATGCCAATATACCAAAAATGCAATATGTTATCCATTGAAAACTGCAATTGATTGGTCATCAATAAAATGTTTTTCAATGAAATGACCATAGGCCTTCACATCCCAATCGATTCTTGCTTTGAGAGAATCTTCAGAAGGGAAAACAGTCTTAAAGTATTTTTCCCCTGTGGGCTTTAACCCAGTAATTGCAGCAATCTCGAAAAGAGTAGGGGAAAGAGGACCACATGGAAGTTCTATAGCATGTAAATCCTTATTCCATAAATGAACTGCGGATAAGAACATGGGCATATCCAAAGATGATAAATCACATCGAGATAAGTGTAGAAAGTCCAAAATTCATATGTCTTTCCAATGGTTTCCAAACTTGGTTTTCACTCTATCAAACCACCCTATATATAAGGATTTTTTGTGGGGAGGACCGGTTCGATATACTTTTGAGGTAGCATTTAGGAAATTGATCCTTATCTCAATTTTGTGAATAATGACTTTGCTTTCGGAAGGCAGGCATATATTAGAAGAAGACGATCCACCAGAATAACGAATAGGACCACCGAATGCATAATCAACATTATCAAATGTATAAGGTATAAGTACCTATGTTTCAGCAATTTTTTGCGAAGCTTCTTCCAACAGTGGGACCGAAGCGAACTTTTGGCCATTTATCTCTATTAAATTTGAAGTCACTGTCGATAATGGCGGGGTGGGGAGGTCAAAAGATTTGGAAGTTGTCATGACAGCGGTGTAAAGATGGAAGACAGAGAAGAGGTGACAGATGAGGAAGATGGGTTAGTTTTAGTAAAGATAATGAAAGTTGCAGAGTATTTTAAAGGGGTCAATTAGGGTAGTTGAAACGACGAACGTGGAAGGAAGTTAAATGGAGACGTGGCAGATTTTTTGGGAAAAGACGAGTTTTTTTTTTTTGAGAATCTAGTAATATTAATGAGGGGAATGACTTGATTTGACATTTGATAATAAAAATAGTCGTTTGGCTTCAGAACATTTAAGAGTTGAAATAGACACTTTTTGCAAGAATACAAAATTTTGCACAAATATTTTTATTCTTTCAAGGGGACATTTTGTTGGTGGGAAAAAATCGAGAAATCTGAATCGAAAATCGAGAGAAGAAATTCGATGATTATTGATGAGAAAAATCGAGAATCTGAATCGAAAGAAGAACAAAGGAAATTCGATGAACATGATTGGGGAAGTAAAAAATCGATTATAGGTATTGAATGCGAAGTTAAGTGGGAAGTCAGAAGCAGTTTAAAATACTCGATGGCTAAGGTCGAAATCGAAGAATGGTAACGTGGTAGCGGTTTTTAAACCACTCGTAGGAGGTTACCTTAAAGAAAATCTATAAATAGAGCGAAGCATGAAGAAGGAAGGGAAAATTGGCAGAAAGAACAGAAACACAGGTGAACAAGTCTACCGGAGAACGACGAATCATGACGTTTCTGACGATCTGGATTTCCATTTTCATTGACTGTTGTTACCGCTTTTTATACTTTCCTTGGTACTTTATCTTTAATACAATCTAATTTTACGCGTCTTTACTTTCATGTTATTTCAATTCCTTGTCATTTACACTTATGCAATTTTAAGATTCTGCATTTACACTTAACGCAATACATATTTGTCTCGATATTTTAATTTTATGTCATTTACTCAGCACAATTTAATTCGATGTCCTTTTACTGCTTACTTTACTTCTGTTGTTAATCTTCATATTCTTGAGTTTCTTAAATAAAAATACAAAAAACAAGGGAGAACTTTTCGATTTTAGTATGTATGCTATGTTGCGTTTTCCGCGTTTCTAATATGCATGCCTTATTTTCCATTTGGTTCGATACTGTGACATTTTCGATTTACATACATTTTTTTATTGAAAAACTATTTGCTAGCCTAAATAAAAAGAATTTATGTGGTTAAAATTTGGTTAGAACCTAAGTCTTTAGGAAATCGAAACAACCAAAATTTTCACCAGAAATAACTGTACATGAGAAAAACTTCGTTACGAAGTTTTTTTGCACAATAATATCATTATAATATAAAAAAAAACATACGTCACATATAACATAAGGATTTAAAGTATATTTTAAAACATACTTGTTTTAAAATATATATATTTTTCTTCTTTGAAAGATGTTTTGAAATGAATTGTTCAGGTCTGGATTGGATTCAATTATTAGCTGCTCTTTGAAAACAGAGGTGCTAAAGGCAAGGTTGATATTTCTATTTCTTTATATTTTAATTAAATTTTTATGTTTTCCTTTTATCTTTTATATTTTTTTATTTAAAAAAAGATGAAATAAATATTTTCTTTAAAAGTCTTCGGCAAAAATTGTTCAATGTTTAAGAGGAAATTAAAGAAATCCACATCCCCACCAATCTTAATCAAATAAACTCATTGTACTAATTCTCCTTCCAAGACATTTTCTAATGATTGGTTGGGGAAATTGTATTTTAATTACTTAGAATTAAATCATTTTAAATTTTATCTAAAAATAAAATTTTGAAATTTTATGTAATTTATTTTCTAAATTTATGTTTTTTATTTACTTTTTCTGTGTTAATCATGATCAGGGACATCTTTAAATTTATTTTAATTATCATTGCTTGACATTATTTTGTATTTTTTATTTTTTACTTTGATCGAGAGTTTCTTTCAATTTAAAGTCTATAATGATTTTTTTGGGACTTCGTCGCCAATTTATTATATAAATTAGTATTAGTTAACATTTTTAAGACACAAGTTAAGAATATTAATTACTTTTTAATATAAAGTAAATATATAAACTAATAACATAAGGATTATTAGTTATTATTTTTTTAGTCTCATAAGTCAGTGAACTTTATAATAATTATCACTATGTAAATCAAACTTGAACAAAAAAAACGTGGTAGGTAAGTTGTATATTTTTAATTTAAAAACTAAAATCACACTATTCAGTTATCATATACTTTTATATCTGTCGACTATTATACTATATTATTTTTTATTTATTTTGGTCATAAATTTGGATGAATAGGGAATAAAACATATTGAAATTCAATAAAATTGCAACAGATGTCGAAGAATGAAACAAATTTGCAACACCCAACTTTGGTGTCTGAAAAAATGAAATGTGTGCAATTATAAAAAAAGAAAAAATATTTGAAGTAAAATTGTATGAAAAGATTTATGATTGATTTATAAGCATTCAAGTTGACAACCTTCTAATTAATCTCTAGGGTTAGAGAAGTGACGTGTGGAATTGAACCCCTAAAAACAAATACGTTTGAATGCAACAGCATAGGTATTAATTTTCCTGCAACAAGACACAATTTTGACAAGATTTCACATTATTTGTTTTACGCCACATCCTAACCCAAAACCAAATCACACCTTGAGGTGGGCGGTTCTTCAATTAAAGAAAAAGCTTCCCAAAATTAAAGCTTAGGCATGCCATGACCATGATGTGCGAGCTGTTTCGTTTGTTGTTATTAGCTTCAAATTATACACTAAACACTAATTTCGCATTTCTACTTATTGCTTGGAACGTGGATCACAATTTCAATTACTTTAAAGTGGTGGGTCAATTTTAAGTAATGAATGTGATTTGATTTGCGAAAGAAACTGAGTTGACAATATGGTACACATTATAAAATCGTAACCCTAGTTCATCATGTGAGATATCAGAAGCATAAATATGGTTTAAATTATTTGACGGACATATATAGTTGAATTTACATATATGATTATTGTAGCTTTGGATAAAGAATAATTTATAATATTATTACTATAAGTAGAGTTTATATAGAATTTAAAAAAGAAAACAAACAAACAAAAATTGTTTGGAAATATTGGGTTTGAATTATTAAAACTAATGAATATAACCATAAAAAGGGAGGGAGAAAGAGAGAGGCTGAGAAGGTGTTTCCTTCTGAATGAGACATTGTACAAGATACAAGTAACTTACTCCAAAAATTGTCAAATGGCATAAACCTTAAGCACAGGTTTGTTACTTTCTTCATCAATAAATAAACAACATATGTGAATGACAATTGTGCAAAACTTCTTTAACCGCTCACTCTGCCACAGTTGCAATGCCAATTGAGTGAGACTAATACCATATGAACTCCGTGAAGATCGTATACAGAAAGGTACAGGTAGACATAGGCCAAGCCATTTTAACTTTGGTTCAGTGATTATTGTGTTGATGTGGAATTTCCACCAGTAACCCAATACTGCTTAACAGCTATCAGCACCTTCTCAGGAACAAGAGGACCTTCCTCGTGATCAACCATTTTAGTATCCCATCTCATTCCTCCAACTATTTTCTTTACCTTGATTAGCACATCCACTTCGTCACGGAATATCACAGCGCCTTCTGGTCGCAAAATCCGGTCCATCTCCAGAAGAATATCTTCTGCATTGCATCTGCATTTGATTGTATACACATGATTGAGGCCCAGGAAATTTTTGTATGCACATCAGATTTAGAGCTCGAAATAGACACAACCAAGCACATGCCAAAGTGTTTTTAACCATATAGTAGTTAGACTCAACACAAGGTCGCTGCTCAATTGCAACACTAGAGGAAGCTGTTTACATGGAGATATGATATATTTTGATAAGAAAATATCTTACCAAAATTGATTTGTTATTTATTACTGTACCTCTTCTTTGTTTTAAATAAGAGTACTCATGTGTACAAAACACACAATTATGCTCAGTAAAGCCTATTACCAACTTTTTAGTCATATCATCTAAACTACAATCATAAGCTAATCAGGCCAAAAATAAGGATTAACAAGTGACTGCAGTTTCAATTGAACGTTAACAAGACAACTAGTTGAATAGTGACCAAAGAAAACTTACTTATCCTTGTAGAGACTAAAGACACCATGAGCATGAATGAGGTCATATGTTCGTGGATATGTGGAAAAGGCTTCACACCTGGGTGAAAAAGGAACAGAGGCAAGATTTATAACAAAACTGACTTCTAATCACAAGTCAATACAAAAGCACATTGTATAGCATTTCAATACGAGGCAATTGAGAATTTATTAAATAATTGTATATGAAAATAGTCATAAAATGTATTTCAATAATAGATTAAGAGCAGAAATGAATAAAATAGGATCAACTTATGAAACCATACCAATCATGATAGATGCCAATTAGTCCTCGCTCATATATCACACCCAGTGTATTTGTCTCGGCTATAGTAGGCACAACATTCATGACCCATAACTTTGAAGAATAGATAGCAGCAGCAAAACTACCCAACCCAGCATTCATATCCATGATGTTACGGTACCTTCCCGAGTCCAGCAGTCTATTAATTTTCTTGTAAGCATTCACATGCTTTTTCCACTTTTTGTTATCATCCTGGTATGTCTCAGAGGTAACTCCAGGAACTGAGCCACTAGCAATTCTGGGAGGAACGGCATGAAGCCTGCTTGGAAATGGTTTAAGATCCCCACCAGAAACTTTAGGACTGGGTGTGATGCAGGCCTCCATTTTCTTATACCTAGAGCCACAGAACAAAGCCATTCCAACTCAGTACACCACTTATTTCAGAACAAAGTTAAGCATTGCTCACATTTAAAGGATTCTTAAAACCACGACAGATAATAACAGAACTATGTACAAATGCTTTAGTGAAAGGTTGATGTCAAGACTCAAGAGTAAACTAGAGGATATCAGTTTTTTATGGCACCAATTTATGTTTGATGTATAAATGTACAAGTATGTTTGTTTTATGATAGTAGAAAGAAGTAAAGGGAATATCAATGATTAACCATTAAAATGTGAAATTAGATAACTAAAAAATAAGGCATACATACCAGACATCATCGGCATCTGAGGACCTACAAAATTCTACGCTAGAATCCTCTTGTCTCCTCTTACATGATTCAGAATCTACAACCTTCTGCCAAATGGCCATTTCAGCCTTCTCCGACCTCTTCACCCAGCAAAGTTGCTTAGCAATCTCTTCGATCTTTCTTTGTTCTTCCTGAAGTTCTTCCTTAGGTCTCTGCCAGGCTTTGTAGTTAACCTTCCAATTGATTGGAGGACCGGAGAGCACCCAATAACCACCAGGCCGTAGAACTCGATCAACTTCCATCATATACATTCCATCTGCAAATGAATAGCCCAAAATTCAATTTTAAACAGCCAGTATCACAACTAAAACAATGCAAGTTGAAAAATCAAATAGATGCAGGAGAAACAAAAATGGGAAAACATTGGTGTCTTATTTACAACAAGTAGATTATAGATTAGAAGCTAGTATTTAATGTCAAGTTCTTACTATTTGTTCCCCAAGGTATCAAACAGCGAGAACAATGAGCCACGTCAAAGGCTCTAGATGGATAAGGTAATTTTATGCTCCCCAAAACGCCAATGACAGCAGGGACACCCCTTTCAAGAGCAAACTGAACTTGTGCTTCATGATTGTCCCTTGGTGCAAAAGACATGGCAATAACATTTCTGCTCCAAAGATATGCACCCCAACTGGCAACCTGAGCAAACAACTTGACATAAGAAAGAATACATGGCCAAAAATTAATGATGCAGGCATGCAGCTATCACATGAAAATGTACAAGAATGGCAAAGGAGATTTGACAAAATTCATCTGAAATTTGAGATGGAAAATATACCCCACACCCGGTGTCTAGCGCTGTTCTCACCGTCCCATTAGTCATAGGTATCACAGACGCAATTTGATTAATATATTTATCAGCACCTTGAGGAAATTGTGTTCCACCACCAGGGAACTTAAACACATTTCCCTCATATTGGATCCAATTCTGAATAGCCTTCTCAACTGTTAGACTCTTGTAGGGAGCATTAGCAAACGGAACATAGTCACGACTCTTCGGCCATGGAAATGGTGTTACATACCCCTTTGGTGCAGGGATCATACACTGTAACTTCTCTTCATCTGGGGGGCAGTGTCTCTCTCTATAGATCATGTTTTCTCTAGGAAAGGTCATGGCACGCTTTTGATCTTGACAGGGAGTGTAATCAGTATAGCGAGCAGCACATGGTTTAAATACCTTTGGCTTTGAATCGACTTCATCGATTTCGCTAACTTCTCCACCGTGGTGGGAATCAAAACTTAAATTTGGAACTATGTTACATTCTGCATTAGTCTTAGTAATCTCTAAAGCTATGCTATCTCCCTTTCCAAAACCACTTCTCTGCCACGCGCCTAATATATAGAAGAAACAGCACAGACCAACTACTATGAAGATCTGTACAGAGCTTCTAGTCCTACCATCAGCTGAACTTGTTTTGGCCATTTATAACCTGAAAAGGTTACTTCGTGTTCAGAACCACAATATCAAGGCTGTAATCCACAGCGTCCTCTCAAGATCTAGCATAATGTAGCAAGATACTTTTAGCTAAGAATGAAGAAAATAGACAAATTGCAAATTTATGATACAATCACACAGAAAAAAAAAAAAAAAAAAAACATCCAAATCTTGAACATTAACTCATCAGTTATCACTTAATCTACGTTGAAAGTAAAAAACTTCCAATCACAATAATTGACAAAACCAAGCCAACTTACTTTCAATCGCTACCATGAAGAAAATATCAATTACTTAGTAATAAACAGTTACCATTGTTACATAAGAAAAGAAAAAGAGAGTTTAAAAGTGAGCTTCAGATCTGTTCAACAGCGTGAAGCTTAAGCTCCATAAGTTTCACTTGTTCGTCTAGGCTCTCCAACAAGGAACACAGAAGCATTTATACACCACCCAAAACAACACGAATGTCAGAAAAAGAAAAACTCATAGACATCTTAACTAACCCTGTAGGTGAAAGGAACACGAACTATAGCTACCTACTCCTGAAGGAAACATGCAAGTTCCAGAAACCACCAAATTAAGAGCTATACATGAATACCCACAAAAGCTAAGTAAACAAAAGCAACTTCATCTACATAATGAAGCATAAGAGAATCAACCTTGGATCCCAAGAAGAAAAGAAAGAGAATTCAAGAAGACAAAGACAAGAAGTAGAGAAAGGATGAAAATTTAGATAATGGGTAGAAAGTTAAGATCTCTCACGGACCACATGAAAGTGGGGTAGAGCAATGGTTTGGAGATCTGGGATTCCAAAGAGAGAGGAGTGAAAGAAAGAGGAAAAACCTGTCAAATGTTTTAATTTTCTTGGCAACCAAACAAAACGATGAATTTTGTAGGTGCCACACCGAAAAGAGAATGACATACGAGTAAAATAGTAAAACCATACCCATATACAAAAGTGGACTTTGGTGAATTCTGTTAAAAGATGTTTTAGTTTAATGAGTAATATTGATTTTAAGTTCAAATTTTAATTGTGTACTGCTTTAAGATGAGATTACTAAATGCTCTTAACATTACATGCACTAAGAAAAACAACAAATAAGGAAAAGTGGGAAAATGAAGAGGATAAAGCTACCAATCTATCCCGAGACTGTGTTCACTTTATTTTTATTTTTTTCAGTTTTACAATGAGCGATGATTGGTAGATTTTGCACACACCTCAAGTCTCTCTCCCTCTTTTGATGCATTTAATTATTAAATAATTTATATTATACATGAACTTTTTCCGTATTTTATTTTATAGACAAAAAGAATATACTTTTAGATTATTATAGTTTAAAGTTTTAATTCATTCTACTCTATTATAATTTTGTTATAAAAAAAATTAATGATTCAAAAATAAAAGTGATAGTAGATGAAAAAATAAAAGTAAGAAAAATTATAATAAATGCAAGTCTAAACACTATTTCAAACCGTCTTTGAAATGATATTATAAATTCTTGCGATAAGTTTGTTTGTCAAAACTTTCTATTTTAGTTTAAAAGATCAAAATGAACAAAAAAAATAGTATTGCAGTTATTTTAATTCAATTGTGTGTAGTTGAAAAATTATGCTTTTAGTTTAGTGTATTTCGAATTAAAAAAAGTGTCATAATTAGTTTTATAAAAACATTTGTAAAGTATTCTTTATTAAACATTTCAGTTGAAATTAGGGAGGATTTATTTTAATTTCTTTGAGTTAAAAAAATATCTTTAAATGTTCTTGATAATTAATTAAATTTTAAAAATTATTCATGAAAAAAAGTGTATCCCTTCTCAAAAGATTATAGTTATGGTATTGAGAAAGATTGAAAGGGTGTAGCAAATTGGTAATCTCCCAATAACATGACCAAATTTACCATTAAATGTGTTTGGGGAAGATATTTGTTGAAAGAAGCTTCATTGTTAAATGTTCAATCAAGACTAAAGAAAACCTAATTATGTTACATTTTAATGTTATCTCATATGTGTCTGTACTGTCCTAATCCTATGTTTAATTTTCAAAGAAGAAATTTAAAACTTAACAATTAGTTAGTTGAAGTCTTGCAAGTGACATGAGTCAATGTTGTATGTATTTATTTATTCATAAGCTAGGCAATGAGAACGCTTTATCTTATCATCATAATAGAAGCATTTATTACAATTTTAATTTTATTTTATAAAAAATAAATATTGTACAAAAATCAGAAGTATATATACAATGTGTTAGTTTCTACATAAAGTTAGTAAATTGATATGTTATGGTAATTACTACATTATCCATAATTTTATTAAAATATTATTCTTAATCATCAATAGGATAAATCATATTTATAAACACTAATAAATTAATATACATTTTATAAATTTATGAGATAAAGTTTTGCTTTAAAAAGATACATTTTGAGATAAAAATGTTCAATTAAAAACAATAAATATACAAGAATGAACTTAGTTTAAATCAGTATAATTTAATATTTCTTATGTTTAATCTATATTGTTTTAGGTACTTTATATTGTTTTAAGTATTTTTATTTTTAATATGAGTGAATCGGATTCTATATATACATAGTGAATTGATTTTAACTGGTAGAACTATTGAGTCAGATTGATCTAAATTTATAACTTACTTTAACATTTCCATTAAAATAAGGACATTGATGTGAGTTTAATTATTATGGGTTATAAAAAAAGTTATGTTGGCTACCAATTTAGAAATTATTTTTCTAATTTAATCCTTTTTTTCCTTTATTGATTAAAATAATTGTACATATATTTTTGGAAAATAATTATTTATTCGAGAGTGATAATATACATTCTTGGACTCTAAGATATTACTAATTGTTTGTTTGTATGTGTACATACATGACTTACGGTTTAAGTAGCTATCGACATCACAAGAACGGAAAGTGAAGTGATATTATTTTTTATTATAAAAATAAAAAGTTTTTTTGTGATGGCCATTCCTTCAATAATTTATTCCATATTTTATTCTTCGCTGAATAGAGAATGTTTTTCATTTACTCACAAAATTTTATTTCAGCTTCCGTAGAACAAAAAAATATCTTACAATCACAAACTTAAGATTTACATGTGTGGAGGGATAATTGTAAAGTTATATTATTTTCATAATTGATTGTGCGCATAATTTATCATTAACTAATAGTTTTTATTTGAATAAGTTTATTTAAAATGATTAAAATTTTTAGATAAAAAAAATACAAGTTTTATACAGTAATTTATGAAAAAAATGCATTTATAAAACTGGAAATTTTTTTTGAAAAAAAAGTACTATATAGCAAAAATGTGTTTATACTCCTTTATTTTGAGCCAACTTCTATTCTTTTCCTTGTAATTTTAATGGATTCTTTTAAAATATGTCTTAGGAAAAAGAACTCAATTAAATATTTTATAAATTTTGAAGACTAATTTTTAAAAATATACATACTAAAATCTAGGATACAAAAGTGATATTCATTCTAATAAAAAAATAATTAAAAATAGGCAGATTTTTATATTAGTACAAAATAGTGTATTAACGATGTCTTTTTATAGTTGTTCAGATTTGTCATTAAAGATGATGCAGAAGAATTTTTTTACTATACGACAATGATTATTTAATAATTGTCATCATATAAAGACAATTACAAAACATCAATTATCAAATGTTAGGGATAGTAACTATTTGATGACGGAAGTTTAATAATCATCATTATATGTGTTATACGACGATGATTATTAGTAATAATCATCGTCCTTTTATACTATATTTTTGCTTACCCTCCTCTCTCATTTTGTTGTGCACATCCTCTTCCTCCTACGTTTTGGCTAAGTTGCACCTTTTTCAACTTCTTTTGTCTCTTGAGTTACTATTCATTATGTCTCACCTCATTTTTCTCCCTCCGTCTCTTTCGCAGTGCTAATCCCTCTCTCATAGTGGTAGCCTATCTCCTGTGGTGGCAATGTCATGCCCTCTCTCAACTAGTGGTGGTTTTCATGTTGGTTAGTGGTGGGCATGTATGAGCAACATTTGTGTGTGGTTGCAGTCTGTGGGAGCAACATCTGCGTGTGGATTGAGTGCTGGTATGTGGTGGGTTTATGATGACTCTTGAGGCACAGTCCATGTAGTTCTCTACTTTTAAGGATCAAAGTCTTGTTATTTGATCAATGTCGTATTATTGTGTAATTGAGGAGATTTTGGGGGTTAGTTACACTAATTTTTAGGGTCTTTTTCAAGTATAAGTGGGTTGACAATAAAAGTGGTGTGAAGATCAATGAATCAGGAATGATGTTGGTTGATTTTCGAAAGATAGATATCAAGATGAACCATCAACCATGACATATCAAGCTTCACAAATGTTTTATATCAAAGATCCTATTTTTGAACATTGGTCAGTTGTTCTTCATGGAAAAAAAAACAAGATTTCACTAATTATAATTAATAATTTAATCTTGATTTTTATCACACTCATTCATTTAAATCAACTCTGACTACTGAAATTGATCAAGACGATGTACATGCAAATAAAAAAGATTATAGTGAAGAAATATACATATGTATGAATATATATTAATTTTGTTTATTTTTTATTTAAATACTTATAACTATTATTAAATTGTATCTAACAATTTCATTTTTTTTTCTAATAGGAAAATATCTAGTGATGATTAATCACCTCCTGATTTGGAGTAGACATCTAAGAAATCTAACAAAGGAGTTTTTAAGTTGAGGTCACTCTCACTTAGACGTGGTACCGGTTAGAGGGCACCTCTCTCTATTGACGTTTACACAAGTATGATCTCTAGGTCAAATGTTGAATCTTTTAGTAGCTACCTCGGAGTATTAACTCATGAGAAAATTTCTATTTTAGACTCATCTTGGGATCATGTTACTGATACTGAAAGAAATATTATTTGACAAGATATCTTGGTAAAAGGTTTAATATATATTAATTGTTTCTTTTATAACTT